ATTCCACTAATGTGCACCATTGGCGCATTTTGCAAAAAATGATGAACGCAAGGCAACCCCCTCGATCAAAACACACTTTGTCACTTCCCACTGAATGTCTGAGAGCACAGGAAGATAACTGTGGCTGGTGACAATGAATTCCGTATCTCCAAATAGCTAGTAGAGAAGTGTTTGAATATCCCCAGAACCTATAAACCATAACTATCTGAGGTAATGACCGTATCAATTAACCATTACAAATTGTGTGCACGTACTGCAGTATCACCTGGTACTCCCACACCTGCAAGACTGTTACATACAAGTTAAAATCCAAATGTGTTTTTAAAAAGAATATGTCTTTTGGAAACCATTGCATGCATTGCCCTGTTCTTTAATGATGACACAGTCTTCTGAAAGCATTACCAAAACTGGTTCAAATTGCCCAGTGATGGATCAATCTTTAGGTGATTTCTAATATGCGGCTCTTGCAGTGATCATTTTTCTATATAACTCATCATTGTCATCATCCCAATTCTTTTCTTTTTTTGAGGACCATTTCAAAGAATTGGAATATGTTTGTGGAGTGTCATTATTCCACCATGGGAGCAACTGCAAAACCTGAGTCTGGCTCTGCGTGCATGTGGATATATGGTACTTTTTCTTCTGATAAATTACATGGGAAATGATCTGCAGCCATGCCAGTTCACCCACAAATAGAAGGTGCAGGTTTCTGTCCATAAAATGGGTAAAATTTAAGAATTCTTAGAAACAAGAAAACCAAATGGAGGGAATCTTTGAGGCAATCACTGAACTTCTGTGGTTCTCTGAGTGTGAACTGGGTTGATAACTTTCTGGTTTCGGGTACCAACTTTGTCACATCCTTTCCAGAGCTTCTCCAGTGCATTCTGCACAAGACCTGGCAGTGCTGATGTGCAGTAAACGTCCTTTGAATGAGAGAATAGGGAAATTTCATCTGATTTTCCTCAAATCGCAAAGTTTCCCCTCAGAGCCACCCATTACCGATCTTAGGCTACAGACAGCTCCTTGATATCCAATTCAGTCACTGAAACTGGGTAAGATTTTTGTTCACAGGGTCTGACATATAACGATTGTGTGAGAATGTTGTTCCTACTGTGTGCTCAGACTTTGCACTGGGCTGGTCACTGGTTCTTTCTGTCATAAAAGATTTCTGCTGTTTTTTAGTGTTCTTTACTTTTATGGTGCTGGGAATGGAACTCAGGGCCTCAAAGATGTTAGGCCAGTGCTCTGCTATTGAGGTATAGACTGGCTCAGATTAGCCACGTGGACTCCTCATCCCTCCGAGGGTGCTCCCACCCCCTTGTTGGTGATGACCGCTTGTTTCCTTTGCCTGTACCAGAAGAGCCAAATCCTGGGAAGTGTGGTCAAATGTTAATAAGCAAATGCAGTGAAGGCGTGATGAAGAACCATCACTAGTGGGCTCCGGGACTCCCATCTGCAGAGGGTCCTGTTCCACAATGGGGACTCTGCTCAGTAGTCCTCAGGGTGCTCACTGAGGCCAGGAAGGCACCTCTCCACACTTGTATTTCTTCTCCAAACTGCTCAATTCTCAATGGGCAAAGCTAGGAGTATTTGCTACTTACTGTTGCCTCCAAGAGGGAGTGTGTGATACAAGACATGCTGCCAAACAAGAGCTCAGTCCTCTCCAGCTGTGTCCTGCTGCCTCTATTAGCCACTCAGGAAACTTGTAATGGGCTCACTTGTGTTACAGACCACCTTGTGTGACTGCTTCAGACAGTCGCTCCCTCGAGTTTTCATTTCCTTTCCTCTTGTCGGGAGGTTCCAGCACTCCACGTCACTCCGTCTCTGTGCTGCTCAGCCTCCCTTCTCCCTCAGCAGGATCCAGAGTCCAGGGCCCATGTCATGTATCTCCCTTCTGCTTATGTTATCATAGCTTGTCTTTTGTTTTCAGTCAGATTGGTACATTTTAGATGTACACAGTGATCACATTCGTGATAGAGAATTTGTATCTGTCCACGACATAACTTCATTCTTCTCTTCTATTCCCCTCCCCTCCTTTCAACCCCTCCACACCTCCCCATCTGCAAAGGCTTAGTTTCCATTTGTTCCTTCTTTTCTTATTTTCATACTTTCCCTTCTTTCCTTGCCCCTCTTCTCTGTCTTGTTCCCCTCCCACGAGAGCATTTTCTCCTGACTTCACAATGATACCTTGAGTCTTGGATGCAGGAACCCCGCTAAGAACCTGTCAGAGTCAGAGCTTAGTTCATCTTCCCTGCATGTGTAAGAAAGTACAACTGTGGAAATCATTGACCATGATTTCCTGCTCATGGTCCCATTTCTCATGAAAGTAGCTCAGAATAGACTCTATCAGGGTGTAATATGAACATGCACTAATACAACTTTTAAAGAGTTAAGATTTCTTTCAACGTGGTTGGGTGTGGCGGTGCACTCTTCTGATCCCAACATGCAGGAGCCTGAGGCAGGGGTATCGCTATGATTTCCAGGCCAGCCTGGGCTACAGAGTGAGTTCAAGATTAGCCTACACTGCATGTGAGACCCTGTCTCAAAATGGCACCATTTATTTCAACATGTTTTAAACGACCACAGGTTCATCCAGAGTTCTATGTGTGAGTGCACTCCCATTCAGGCATCCAAAGGGCCATTGTTTTCTTTGTGCCCCCCCCAGATTCACTTTAGTGAGAAGCATGAGCGGGAGCAGCATGTGGAAGAGGGACGGCAAACTCCATCTGAGGAGAACCTGGCTGCTGTTTCACCCTTGTCTCTGCACTGCGTGGGGAGGGTTCTGTAGTCCCTGGAAGTGAGACTGATGAGAGTCACCCCCACTCCCCTTTTCCCTCTGAGGGCCAGAAGAGGGTGTGGTTAGGCCCAATCTCTTATGCCCCTTCTCCTCACAGCCGTTTGCTTCCCATTGGTTCCCTGAGGATGGGCTGTTCCATCTTGCTTCAGTGTCTTTCTGGCATCCCCAGGTAACTTCATGGTCACCATCCAAGATACTCTCATGGGACGCATAGCTTCGCTGTCAGCTGCAGTACCCCCATCACTGTCCTGCTTCCATTACACCGGGGACCACTGGCAAGAAATCAAACTGAATATTGAAGAGGTCAGGAGGGATCTAAACTGTTATTAACTCTCCCCAACCTCAGGAAACTTCGGGAACACAGCTAGTGTTCCTAAAGAGTGTTTGTTTCCCGTTATCCCACTTTTCAGATACTTGACACAACCGATCAAGTGACTGCATCTCCCCATTTTCCAAAGAACTGTCCTGATGATAGCTCTGAGACTCCTGGATGACCTGAAGCCCCCTGGGAGGTCAGCTTTGGAATAAGTACAAGGCGAACTGAATTTGGTCGATCTTAGGCTTGAGTTTGCATCTACGAACAGGCTCAAAATTCAAGCAATCACAGGCTCAAATTCAGACCAACCAGCAGGCTTGGCTTTGTAGCAGTCACAAACCTGCTGATGCTACCTAAGCAGGGTTCCATTTGCACTTTCTCAGGTGGTACAGGAGAGCTCCTAGTTGAGCTATTAACACCTTCTGTGCTGCAGCATGGCTGTGTGGTTCAAGTAAAGCCTCATTCTGGTGATCCTGTAAGTATACTCCTCATTGATTTCTCTAGAATTGTGGTCAAAGTAGCTGTTTGGAAGGTTTTGTAAATCCACTTGTGAATCTTGTACTGAGTAATGTGCACCAAATTGTTGTTTTCAAAAGAGCAGAGACACTGGAGCCAGGGACTCTGAGGAGCTGCAGAGACCAGCAGCCAAAGATTAGTGACAGTCACTAAAATTGCTAAGAGATTTTGGAGTGAACTAGAAGCAACCTGTGGCATCATGGTCCAGAGCTGGAACATGCAAGGCTGAGGACCGTCGGTGCTCTAACACTGGAGTGGCTATGAGAGGTACACATTGCTCATTTGTTTTTTCTGTTACAATTGAAGAACGAGTGGCAATAGGAATGCTTGCATCCTGTTTACAAGCACGTGCTTGTTCTGCGATCTAGACACTCACATATCCCCATTCCCTACTGCTCTGAGAATAGGGTTCAGGATGCAGAAGAAGGGACATTCAACTTATGGAAAGACCAATTCTCTGGTCTGGTGAATACATTCATTTTTTTTTTTTTAAAGAATTAAGCCAGGCCAGAGGCTTCCAGAAGTGTAAAAATTCTGTTTAGGCTGTCTAACGTCATCACTGTGTCTGGGTACTTCACTGCCTGATCAGTCTAGGGAAGAAATGAAGTGCGTAGAGCAGTTACCAGTGTCCTGGCCGAGCCCTTCTGTTGACAAACTGGCAGATTTGAATTTGAGACGCTTCTGTAACCTCATCCTGGTGGACAAGAACCCTGCAAGAATTCCAGCACCCATTGAAATAACCACTTTGTTCTATGGCCCAGGGAGACTCTCACATGCCTGGTCTCCACACCTCTAGGGAAAACCTGGAGGTGGGTGCAGCATGCGAGTTCCAAATATTTCTCTCCTCAGAGAGAGCTGGGTGTTGGGGATTCCTTAGCAGCTATGTGGCACTATACTGAGGGAGGTTTGATTCCAGTGTGTGCGTAGGCTTTTCCAACCTGTTCAGTGTGACTATTTTCTCAGGCACCGTAGGCATGGGACCCTGCAGAAGTGTTTGCGATGTTGTCCAGAGAACAGCCACACACGCTTTATTCAGTGCACTTAGGGTGAGGGAGAATGAGAAGTGTAAGTTCCACTGTGCTGCTGACTTCCTCCCCGTGAAGAGGGTTTGTGATATGGCAATGATTGGAGGGGGCATTGAAAAGAAGCAGAGAGAAGACAGGCAACAGTGAAAGTGAGACAGCTACTTTTATTTCCTTGTATGAAATGACAAGTCCGCAAGCTCTACTATATACAGATTGACATGAGCTGGTAACTGTGCTTGACAATGTGAGTTCGTGTCCAAAGCCGTGATGTCAGGAGTCACCGTGCACATCCTGCGATGCTCACTCCCTCACTGGAAGCACCCTGGGGGGAGATATATATCCAGACCGCTGAGATCATCTTCTCCAGGCACGTCGTAGAGTTCTAGCAACTGACATGTGTCAAAGAAATCATGAGTGCAAGGTGTGCCACAATTCTCCAGAGATTCTTCCTGGATGTCATGACACTGAATGTGTGGGGATGAAGGAAACGCAGAGGCTCCATCTCTTCCAGTGATCTGTGTATCAGAGGGCTCCTGAGGGTGAGGGTTATGACCATCTGAAGCGGCAGAGCTTGGTGCAGGATTTGTAGCAGGCTTTGTCAATGGGGCCTCCTCCTTTTCCAAAACATGCTGCGTGGATGTTCCAGGTGATGAATCTAGCTGCATTTTCAGCTGTTTTTTCTTCTGTTTTGCACGCTGGTTCTTAAACCAGACCTAAAGGGAAAAGAGAAGCAGCTGAAGGAAGGGGAATGAGTGCAAAGTTGTATCTTCATGGTCCTTAGCAAGTGAGGTTGTGGGTGTGAGAAAGAAAATCTCCAATTGCTTGGGCTTATGTGAACAAGGGCAGTTGTTTGTATCCTGTGATGCTTTGTGTCTCAGAAGGTAAAGAGAGGATTGGATTGTACTGTCTATGTGGGGAGGAGGCTGGAGCCCTCAGACTGAAAATCAAGAAAGCTTAAATAAAGAGGGGCTGGGTATAGTTTTCAATTAGTTGTTCCTCAAGGTTTGCCAAGAAAACATTTCCCAATGTGAGAGGCAGGAAGGGGAATGTAGCTTGGAGTTTTACAGGTTCATGCAGGGATTTCTCCCTGAGTATGTTGAAAGTTTATTTGAGGAGATCTGAATGACGTGCAAGTTCAGACTGAGCAGCATCTAGACAAAGACCTGCTGTATTTTCTAAATATTCCCTTGGTGGGTGCTTGTTTTCTACATAACTGTATGGAGATGCAGTGTATTGTTGAAGAAGTGGAGCGTGATGAGAAGTGATTTGTTGTGAGAATATGGTGTTTGGAGAGCATTTCTGCCCGTGTCCAGGAAGTGGGTGAGGTCTTCTAGCATTAGGCCAAACCAAGAGTGGGCTGCTAATATGTAAGAAATCCCAATGGCAGGATGTGAGATCCAGACTCAAGGGGTCCTAGTTAGTGTTGTCGGGCAAGATTCAATTTCTGAGTGTTGTGTTGGGTAGTGTTGGAAGCCAAGTCCTTTAGTGAGTCTCAGTCTTCCTCCCAAAGAGAGCCTGAGTGAGGCTGAAAATCTAACATATTTTTCCTGTGTAGAGACACCCTGCACCTGTCAATCCAGGGCACTTGTACGATGGTGAGGAAGAGCGTGTGGCGTTGTGGGTCAGGTGTACTACCCAGAGACACACTCAGGCACCTACCTTTATTGTGACTTCCTCGAGCTCCAGTGTGGCAGCCAATTCTTTCACAACAGCAAGACTTGGAAGATTATTGTTCTGAAAGGCATCCATCAATGCTGACAGTTGAGACTGGGTAAATGTTGTACGTGGCCGGCGATTGTATTTTAGATCGTCTGCAGAGGGAACAGGCAAAAGGCTTGCGTTAAAGTAACAACCAGAAGGAAATGACAGAAGCCCCCTGTTCGGATACTAGGGAAAAGTGAATTTCATGGCTGGGACTGACCTGCATGTCAGGGCTTGTCTGGAAAAGGTCACCCATACAACCCATGCCTCACCATCTTCCTGTGAATGCTCTGCACCTCCACACAAGCAGTGCCTCACTGGGAGAGGTTCCGGTATTGGCAGGAGAGTCCCACTGAGTCATGAGTTCACAAGGTTTGTGCAGTACTCGAGACATTGCTCTACTAAGCATGCAGACTCGGAGGTACTTTCAGATCTGGAAGACCTGCTATTGATGTGGTCATTCATTGGTGGGATCAGTGTGGAGGGGCAGCTATGAAGTTAAGTGACCTCAGAATGCACGTTCATTTTTTCTTTTTTGGTACTGGGAATCAAACTCAGGTTCTTGTGCCAGCCAGGGAGGTGATTATGCCACTGAACTATATTCCGGCCGTTGAGTGCATGTTGATTCTGTCATCTACTGTATTTGCAGCAAGCTTAAGATAGAAATTCCTAGTGTGCAGAGGGCAGCAAAGGGGACTGTACTCATCCCCATGGGGGAGACAATTCCCAAAGTCCCGAACCGCCAGGAATTCCCCTCCTCTCACTCTGGTTTCTGCACCCCCAACCCCTCAGCCCCACTTGCCCGCTCTGTCTCAGCTTACCTGGCACCTGGGGCATCGTTGCTGTAGGACAGGTCAAGATCTCAATCTGCTCCACGATCTAGAGCTCCTCAGTTTAAGTGGCTGCTGTGTGGGGCTGCCTGGCTATTTATCTTGCTGGAGTCTCAGACCCACCCTAACCCACCCTAACCCACCCTAATCCACCCTATTCTTAGGCCCTGTACTCGCCAGTCAAAACCTGCCTCTCGCCATTGTCCTTTTCTTTTCACTTTTGAGAGAAAATTTCGTTCTTTGGTTCGTGCTGGTCTTGAGCTCCCAATGTAGCCCAGGCTGGCTTCCAATTTGCAGCAATCTTCCTGCCTCAGCCTTCCGAGTGCTGGGTTTACAGGAGTGCACCATGACACTTGACCTTCTAATTCCTTTTCCTTCCCTTCTCCAGAACCTAGGCCAGCGATGACGAACCTTTTAGAGCTTGAGCACCCCAACTGCCATTCAAAACCTACTCATTTAAGGAAAGTGCCAGCACTGGGATGAAAACTGAATGCTCCACTGCCGGGGTGCTGCTGTTGGTTCTCGGCTAGCGTGGCAACGCAGGGCTTTGTGCACCCACCGTGGCACGCATGTCCAACATTGCCACCACTGACTTAGGCTGTGCCAGCTGCTGTGTGCGGTAGTGCAAGCGAAGCTTGATTGCAAATGGATTCCCAGCAGGGCGTGGTGGCACTCGCCTGTGATCCCAGCACTCTGGAGACTGAGGCCAGTGGATTACCGAGAGTGAAAGGTCAGCCTGAACTCCATCACTAGACCCTGTCTCAAAGAAAAGTGGGAAAACAGTAAGAAAGCAGCCAAAAATTCCCCACAATGCCCTAGAAGAGGAGAGGAAGCCAAAGGAAAGTGAGGCAAGCAGGAAAGAGAGAGAATGTGCAAAAATGTGACTGAGGACAAATGAGTAAACAAACACAGTGCTGAAAACAAGCAGACAGCTGGGCGAGGTGGCACAGGCCTGTAATCCCAGCACTCAGCATGTGAGGCAGGAGGATCATTGTAAGTTCGAGACCAGCGTGGGCTACAAAGTGAGTTCAAGGCTAGCCTGAACTGCATAGTGAGACCCTGTCTCAAAAAAAAGAGAAAAGGAAAACAAGCCAGGCCCTGGGGGAGGGAGACTAGGAAAGAGAGGGCCGGTCTTGCCTCAGGGTGGGCGGAGGGTGAGTCACTTGTGTGTGGTGAGACCCCCAGGATCCCTGGGAAGCCACTGTCCACCTAGCCTGCCCAGCAAGGCAGGGACAGAGAGCCTGCAGGATCTGCGCAGAGGAGTCTGCTGTCTGGTTTAAGGAGTTTGGATCGGAGGCAGCTGGGAGCCCAAGGAGAAGGAGCTTTAGGTTTTTTTCTTTTGTTTTGTTTTCTGACTCTGGGTGTTAAACCCAGGGTCTTTGCAGTGAGCTATATAGCATCAGCTCTTTTTTTCTTTTTATTTAGCTAAATTGCTGAATTGCTCAACCTCGTCTATAACCTGGGACCCTCTGACCTCAGCCTCCCAGAGTGCAAGGATTATAGTTCTGTCCTGCCACGTCCTGCTTCCTTTTTAAAAAAAAATTTAGTGAAGCCTGTCTTTCATTTCCTAGAATCTTTGTCTCTGTCTCTCTGTTTATTTTTGTCACCTCACAGGCACCATATTTAGTGATTTTTTTTCTGTCATCTCCAAGTGTTTCTCTTCGTGAGATAATTTTTTTGTCATCGGTGTAATTTCGTGGACAAGGATATGGGCTCTGTGCCAATGACCGGAATCCCCCACCTGATGTAGTTAGTCTCAGCTTCTAGCTTCTCTGATCTGGACATGAAATGGTGGCCACGGCCCCAACTCCCACACCTCCTTTGGCCTATTCCGGAGACATCTGGGAAAAAGCAAAGCACTCTAACTATATAACACTGAGGGGAGCCCTAGGACAAAGCGATACAGAAGGACCCATTTATGTCATACAGGATCAAAATTCAGGGAAAGAAAGCTGGGCTAATGTACACAAACCCCTCCACATATCTGTTTGGAAGGGTGAAATGGGCCTCCAGTTTTCCACACCGAGTTTGAAGTCGGCCCTTGCAGTGGGCCTATGGCACTGATGCAGGGGGAATGGCCATGACATATGCAAAGGGCCTGGTCCCCAGTTGGCAGGATGTTGCAGGAGGTCATGTTACAGCTGCCTGTCCCTTCTTCATCTGCTCATATAGCAGCTGTCTGAGCACCCAGTCTGCATTGTCTGGCTTTGGTGAGTTAGAAATGAGCCCTTAGTACAAGAGAATTCATCCTTCCCCTCTCAAGTGCCGGCGTCTAGGGCAGGAAGCAGCAATAACCTCAGCCACCCAGCAGTTCTCATTAGGATGCCTGTGGTGTCATGACTGCCAGCAAGAGCAGTGAATTAGAGGAGGTGTGTCAGCCCGGAAAGCCAGGTGAGTGAGGAAGTGTCACTGTAACTGAAGGATGAAAAAGAGCCTCCCAAGCCAGGGGAGCATCCAACACCAAGGTCCAGAGAGCCAGAGCACCTTTCAGTCTCACAGGTACAGAGAGGCCGCCACCACAGCTGAGATATGCAGTGATCTTTTAGGTATTGTGGGAGTTATATTCCAGAGATCCCTGTGATAGGTGAAAATCCACGAAATAGCGGCATTATCTTTACTTTATTGTTCGTATATGTTGTAAGGCCTTATCAACCCTTCTCACACTGCTATAAACCTTCCCCACTCAGTTATTAACTTTCCCTACACTCTTATAAACACTTCATAGGCTCTTAAACCTCTTAAACACTTTCTACACTCTTAAATTTATGTAATTTTAACAACTTGTAAAATTCTGTGTGGGTACTTGATGTGAAGTGGACAAGGAGAAATGCTGAACATACGGACATGTTTCGGGACAGCAAACAGACCGATGCTACAGTCACTGAGCCAATCGGCGCCCAGGATACAGAACACAGTGCTGTGATTGGCTGACTCAATTCCACCAGCCAAGAGTGTGCTGTGTACTATCTCACCTTGGCAAACTCGAGCAAGTGGTAGCGGTGCACTGTATACAGTATGGTGTTCATCTGCTGATGAAATACATACTGTACTTTATGACAATTTAATATTCTTTATTATGTTTGAATTAACATTTTATACATTTTTATATTGTTTTAAAATTTTTAGACAAAAATAATTAAAATCATGAATATTATATAAATATCTATACACCACAAAATCCTGTAGTGAAAACACCACAAAATCATGCAGTGAAAACTCTATGATACAGATTTAGGTATACTTTTAAAAAAATCTGCAGTACACTGAAGGCGCAATAAGTGAACCATGATATAGGGACGGGCGACTGTATTGTGGGCAGGGGGTGGCAGGAAAGATCAGATAGAAGGCAGGTCGCAGCCAGACCAAGGGAAGGACTTTGGACTCTATTCCAAACCAAGTAGAAAGCCGCTAGGGCACCAGGAACACTCAGCCCCTTTTCTTGCACTGGAGTAGCGGGAGGAAAACTGGCCCCCGCTGGAGTGGGCAGCTGCTACTCACTGGCTGGTTGCAGGTTGGGTGTGAGGCTGAAGAGTGTGAAGTTTTCATTTCTCAACATTTGCCCGCGCGTCTCCTCCCGTACTTTCTCTGCTCCTGTTCCCTGCTTTCCCGAAAAACCTTTCTTTGGTCCCACAGCCAGGCCAGAATTCCTAGAGCAGAAGGACACAGCGTCAGTTTTCTTATGCTTCCCTAAGCGCAAGTGCGGGCAGTAATGGCTTGCCCTGTGCCACGTGCCCCTGG